GGAAATTGGAAAAAGCATTGTCAGTAGCAACAGGCGCATTCGTGCCACATACAACACTCCTCGTTGCCACCAACTGTCGTGTGCGAAGCGCTAAAAATGCATGTGTATATGTAGCTGTGTGTTTGCGCTTTCGACAGCTGCTCGTGGCGCCGCGTTTTTTGCTGCCAATGAAGGCAATTTGCCTTTCATGCAACAAGCGATGAAGCATGAAGCGATGTAGCAACACAACACATGCGGCATGGAAAAGTTTTTCGAATGCTAAAAGAGGCTGACTTCAATGTCGACACTAGTTGGTGTCGGATTGGATTACACGCTGAATGGTTGATTTGGTTTGGGCACTTTTGGTGGCTGTGTGAATATTTTTAGTTAGGAAAAAAACTTTTTTCCACGCATATGCGCGGATTTGCGACAAACTGGAGTTTTTTTTTCACTACTCAGCCAAGGAGTATCGAATTGAAACTAGTAGTTTGCCAGTTCGAGCTTGAAAAACTACAAAAGCAAACGTGAGACTCCAAAGAACGCAGTGAAACGACCCGCAGTAAGAACGAACTAAGACCTCATAGCTTAAGCAGTTGATATAAACTATGAGGCCTCAAAACTTTAAGAGAGTGTGGTCGAGTCGATTTTACTTGATTCACTGGTGTCCGGCTTATTTGACGTTTAAATTAAATTAAATTAAAATTAAATTAAATTATATTAAATTAATTAAAAAATAAAATAAAATAAAATAAAATGAAAAAAAAAATTAAATAAAATAAAACTAAACATAATTAATTAAGTTACTCCTTAACGGGATGCAACAAAGGGAAATAATATAAAATGAAAAAAAAACACAAATTAAAATAAAAAAATAAGGGAAATGACATAAAATAAAATTAAATCAACAAAAATTTAAATTAAATGATATTAAATTAAATATTGTAAAATAAAATAAAATAATATAAAATAAAATTAAATTAAATTAAATAAAATAAAATAAAACAAAATAAAAAAAATAAAATAAAACAAAATAAAATAAAATAAAATAAAATAAAATAACACTAAACACTTAAATATTGTTTTAAAATTTCGTTTACCGCAATAATTTCCATCCCTTTCAATGCTGGAAAAAATGCTTTCTTTCGGGTTCTAAAGGAGTTGCATGAGTTTCTCATCACAAGTAAGTTATTTAACCACATAAATCACCCCAGGCAAATAAATAAGTAAAAGATAAAAACACAGAAATATAAGATATAGATATATCAAAAGCCTTCTCCACTGACGGAAATTCTAACCTTCTTTCTGACTGTTGCCCACAGCTGTTGCTTCTTCATTTAGTATTCTCATTTTCCCATCAGGCATAGAAATAACCAATACAAAAAAAAAACAAAAATCTAATCAAAAAGACGTAATGGTAAAGCACTAATAAATACAAGTATAACTGTAAATTAGTTGAAGCAATTTCGTAGTTAACCGGAAATGGGAGCGTATCTTATGAACAAATCAAACAGCCTCAAGAGTATTACATTTAGCGAGCAAATAGAGATTTATACAAAGCATATTTGCACACATGTATATGTGTGTATATTTTTACATGTATAAGCAACATACATATTTCTACAATGTAGATATGTAAGTAAATAGACACTGAGAGCTGTCTACATACGCGCATATATATGTGAATTGAAGTCGAAATTAAGCCTAAGGACACCGAAATGGCATGTAAGTGAAAACGTGCTTGGCATCGCAACTTTGTAGTATTAAAAAAAAGAAGAAAATAAACATACCTAAGTAAATTCGTATGTATATATGTATGTATGTTGTATTGAGAATATTTCTAAAAATTTACATTACACTCGCATGGAAATATGTTTGATCCACAAAAAGTTTATGTGCAAATATTTTCATTTTCTTTTCCACCTTTTTCTTCGTCTACACCTTCTTCTCCTGCCTCTCCTTCTCATGCTTGTTCCCCTTCTTCGACTTCTTGTTCTTTTTTCTTCATCTTCTTCTACTTATCCGCATGTAACTATTCAGGTGTCTGCCTTTGTCACATACATATTTTCTTTCACTTCATAATTTACGCTTAACAAATTTGCTTTTAGAAAACTCCCATCTCAAACAAATATTTCTTCTTTTTTCTTTTTCACCCAAGGCATCAAATAGTTTTACATTGAAATTCAATTAAGACGCACAACTAGTTAATTTACTTTATTTTATTTGGCATAAATAATAACCTTTGATTGAAAGTGGCTGTGAATTTGAGTCCACATTGGGATGTAATATATAAAAATATTGCTGTACTAATTTTGTTTTGCAAACTGTAATTCACTATTTATTATAATTTTTCATTAAAAAAAATTTATGAAATGTGTTTATTTGTAAAACCCTTAAAAAGCAATGTTGGCAATTGTCTATACGAAAAAACAAATGGCAACGATCATTTTGATTTTTGAAAAATTATCACTTGACAGTTTCGAGTGTCGAAGATCTATTAGCAGAAATTCCCGTATAATATTTGTTTACTAAATATTTCTTTTTCAAACGACAACCGATACTAAAACGCAACGTTGCCGATTTTCTTTTTGAAAATTATAGCTTGATAGTTTCAACTGCAGGTCAAAGTCCAAAATGCATGATTTCAGTTAAAATATGGATTTAATAAATATTTTTCGTTCCAACAACTAGCTAATAGCTATGTTGCCAGTTTTCATTTTGAAATATTACCGCTTTCAAGTTACGATTGCTTTGCTAAAAATTTAGTAAATATTTTTTGTTCGAACGAAAATAGAAAGCAAAATTTATTTTGGAGCAGCGTTGCCATGTTTATTTACGAAAAATCATTACTTCATAGTTTCGAGTGCCATGTCTAAAACGCTAAATTTCCAGAATAGCAATGTTGCCAATTTTCATTTTGAAAAATCACCGCTACATAGTTTTGAGTGCCATGTCTAAAATTTATTGGCAAGATTTCCCGGATATTATATGTTTGGTAAATGTTACTGGTTTAAGCGACAAACCGAATATCAAAATTGTTGGAAAGCAACGTTGCAAATTTTCTTTATAAATTATTAGAATTTCTTTACAAAACAGTATAAACATCTTGAGATTCTTCTTGACAGTTTTTGCCTTGCTTACGCACTTTTGATGTCATTTAGCCGCTTCTAAAAAGCATATAAAATTATGTACATCTTCAATTTTCCTCTTTACTCAACGACGTTCCTAACTTGAACATATTTTTATAGCAAGAATTTTTCATACCAACAACAATGTAAATTTTTTAGCAACCTATAAATATATTGTTTATCTTCGTCAAAGCTTTATCTAAAAATAGTAGGTTTTTTTTCGCAGAAAATTTCAAATCATGGTTGCTTTTTTACGAGTTACTCTTCGTATACATAAAACGAGTATATGTAAGTAGTAAAAGAATAAAGTCCGTGATATCCGCTTATGATTGCTTAGAAGCTAAACATACTGCAAAGCATGTGCAGTGAAATAGGAGCATTTGTTGTCAAGGTAAACATAGTAAACCAAGTGCATGAGGAAATATAGTATAAGCTTTGAGCCGTAAATACGCTAAAAAGCATGAAAAAGTATTGCTCGTCAATTGCTAAGGCCAGTCTGTACTATACCAACACTCACCATTCGGTAGGAGGACACATATGATGATGAGTTGCGCTACGCGGATAGCAACTTAATGAAGTATTAATGGTAGCCCATTTGAAGGGGCGACCGCAATTAGCTAATTTAACTTAGTTTTTTTTTTAAATTAATTTTCTTTACCTTTGGATGCTGATCGTACTAGGATTTGAACCCTGCTCTTTTGATTGGCAGTACGCAAAGCTAACCACTCGGCTACCGCGACCACCAACGTATATAACACCCAATTAAAAGATATAAGTGATATAAACTAGATTAAACAAGTAAAGTTAAATACAAAATCAAATAACACAAAACAATAAGAAAATCAAAATTCATTAAAAAAAAAATTTTAAATATCTGTTTTCTAAAAGCACTCCATCTAAGAGAACTGTGCGACAGGCAGCCTAACTCGCTACATTGCCTTCGATCAATATACGTACAAGACGCATATGTAGACTGAAAAAGGAAGGATACCGCGATGAGTGAGTATGAAAAAGAAATATAATGCTCGGAAAATCTAGGAAAAAAACATTGCGACCAACGGTGGTCTAAACACTGAACCAAACTCTTGTGGGACTCAGAGTGATTATCTAGTGGCTGATACCCAGAGTACACTGAATATATGGAGGAAACAACAAGAGCTGGCGAACCTGATTCCCCAGTCGTTGAGCATGAAACCAGATTTTTAATTTTTCGATTATGAAGAAGTTCCATTAGTAATTGATCACCTGACCACCAGACAAGGTTTCAGACAAAGTGCATTTTCAGCGTGTGACTTCTTTAATTTGTTGCTGAAGAAATTAATACGAGCTGCAGAGTTGAATAGAGCAGACCAAATCTTCTATAAGAATATACAACTGCTGGCGTATGCCGCTGATATTGACATCATAAGCCTCAACAACCGCACCGTGAGTTCTGCCTACTCCAGATTGTATAAGAAAGCGAAGTGAATGGGTGCGGATGTGAACGAGGGTAAGGCAAAATATCTCCTCTGGTCGTAGACAACCTTGGTCTGTCTTGGAACCGGTATACCAATGTCGGTCTTGAAAATCAGCGCAAAATAATTCTTGCCAACAGTTGTTACTTTGAACACCTTATGCAAGAAATAAAAGAATGGAAAAAGAATATATATAAAAAATTAAATTAAAAAATAAGAAAAAATAAAAATAAATAAAAAAAAACAATTATCGGCTCACTCACACAGTCAGTAAGGAAAGGATTGCTATGAGGCTAACAATTGCAGCATTTTAGCTAGATATAAGTAATATAAACACTTGCTTTTTGTTAAAACTTAATTTTAATGAAAACAAAACTTTGTCAACAACTTTTTAGGTAGCAATTATTTTTACATATTGCTACCCACTACAATTTATTAACTACTAACCACTACGCCGCAGCTGTATCCGACTATTCACGAACAGAGTATAAAGTACGTCACCTTCGTGTCGAAAAGACAGCCACGACTTCATACCTGTATCAAATGCAAACGCTGGCATGGCATTCAAATCCATGCGAAAGCCACGAATGTAATACAGTGTGTCACGTTTGTATGGACAACCCTGCATTAAATTTCCATAGCGATTTAGTGAGCCCAGTACAAGTTGCATAAGGGGAACTTGTAGTTTATTCGCCATTAGTTGACAGCCATTGACGTGAGTTAAATTGAGTAGTGTAAAATCCGTGGATTGTCTTGGTAATATGACGCGGAGATCCAAACCAAAATATTTGATGTCCTTTTTGAATTGAAATTCTACTGTTAAGCTACTGAGTTTCAAACTTTTACCTGTGCGACACGATAATTTTGCTAAATACCCCTTTGGATCGTGTGCGGTGCAGTTGATTTCACTGTAGATGATTTCAAAGTTGCTCTGTAATTTTTATGAAGAACAGTTAACTTAAAAAAAAAAAAAAATAGTTTGTCGTTGCTAACCTTAGCCAGTGCATTTTTTAGATAGAACTGTAGACAAAGGGTTGTTAATATTGCTCCGAATATGCTTGATATCCTCATAACTCTGTCCAATAGGTACTAAATAAGTACTTAATATTAAAATTTATTTATATTTTTCTTTTTTTACGTTTTAAGATAACGAAATTCAGATCTCCATTTATCAGCATTAATTGCTAAATTGGGATTCAACTGTAGTAATATAGTTTTAATTGCACAGTAGTATAAAAGTGACTGAAATTGGAAAAAAAATAACATAAAATAAAATAAAATAACAAAAATAAAATAAAATAACGTAAAATAACATAAAAAATAAAATAAAATAAAATAAAATAAAATAAAATAAAATAAAATAAAATAAAATAAAATAAAATAAAATCAAATAATATAAAATAAAAAATAAATTAAAATAAATATTTGTGTTCTTAGGCGTTGATTGTAGAAATCTTTACTTCAGTAACGTGGATAACGTTTTATTATTTCGAAGAAATTCTTATAAGTGCCTTTTTTTTATCGCCTTCTCCGCATCTGGACTTCCTTCTCAACTATCTTAATTTTAGACCTCATAATTTGGGGAGCTTCTGCTTAGCTTATTCCGCCTGCAGTCTTAATGCAGCCTCTGATTGCCTCTTAGGCCTCGTTTTGGGCTTAATCTTTTCTGTTTTTTTCTTATGTCCAACGGTTTAAGGTGGGTTCGATGACAGTGCGCTTCGATTCGACCGGGCTTGAAGCGTGGCTTTTGGATGAGTTCGGGTCTGCTCCTTTTTTAAAAAAAAAAAAATTTTTTCTTTATTTTAGTTATTGTTGTATACATTTTTATTGGGCACTCGCTTCAAACCGCTGTTCCCGCAGTCGCACTGTCAAAGAGTCCGAGAAAGTCTAAAGATATGGTGGGAACCGCGTTAGTTGACACAACTTTTTGTGAGAGCTTGAGTTCAGAGCCAGCCAGGCGTGTGTGATCATTGCTTGCTCGGGTGGCAGATTACAACTCTCACCAGCTCAAAAGCAATATAATGCTTAAAGTTTTCCAAAATGCTATAACCTGGATCTTACCATTCTGTTGAGCGTCAAGTACAAAAAAACGTGTGTAGTACAAAAGAGGAGTTTCTTGTAGCTTGAGAAGGGGGCAAAAGAGCGATAAGGAATCTGTTGCCTCCACCCCATGGATAGATATTTCTTCGAGGCAACCCTTTCAAGGCAGTGAATGCTCATGTTGAGGCGACATACTATATTCACCTCGGCATCTAAGATTCATAGTGGGGCTTTGGGCCCCTTTCCTGTCGGTTTTGCTGAAGGCCTGTTTATTGAGTCAGTCAGCACAGTCAAAATAATATAATAAAATATATTAAATTACATGCATATGCACTTACATACACAAAGATTCAATAAACTCCTAGGAAATGAACTCATCTCAGCAATGCTTTTGATTTGCAAATTTTCAATAATGTTTAAATCTACAAAAATATCGCAATGTCCTTATACAGGAATTTACCATGCATGCATATGTGTGTATGCGTATGCGTTTCTACATTACTTTCATTTCAAAACATCGCCCACGAATAGTGACTTAACTTTCTGCTCAGCTCACAACAAATTCAATGGAAGTATAGCCGGCAAACCTGGCCAACAGATTGGTTTGAATTTTCATAATAATTCCACATAAATTCAAATTCAATGGACGGCAGATGCACCATTGACAATATTTACTTGCGTAAGAGTTTAGTTTGAGCAACCGATGGCTGATTGGTGTCCCATTCAAATGCAATTGATTTTCGGAAAAGGAATTAAAACTGTGAACAACTCATGTTAGATGCAGGTTAGGCGTCCATTAGCTTTTGACCAAAAATTTAGGATTCTACAGTATTTGTTTGCATGAAAAGTTTATTGTTATTGCGTATTTTATATTTCAGGAATTTCCAGTAGTCAACTGCACACGTTTAGTGTTGTTTGCTACTTTGAGAAGATTTATAAAGTTACTTTAACAGCTGAGTATGAATACAAATATGGTAACACCATGTATTTCCATCGCGGTCTCAACTCTCAACTCAACTAATTTTTGCCCAAAAAAAAGCTTTAAGGAGCTTTTGACATTTTTTAAGAACTTAGTTTTTTTTTTTTTGATTATTTTTGTTTAATTATTGCAATGCGATAGAAATAAGTATCCAACAGTAAGATAACGAAGCATTATTATTATATTTATCGCTGCAGAAGAATATATATAAAATTAAGATTATAAATAAACATTATCTTTATTTTCGGAAAAAAAACCTCATGCACTTAGAAAACCACATAATAAAAGCGATTTCACCGGAAGGTTAGCCCTCGTGTTCTATTTTTAAATCTGAAGTAACTTGATAGCTTTCATAACTTTCCTACGTCCACTAAGGCCATCAGTAACAGTTATAATAACAATTTTCACCATAAAGTTATGGTTCGTTAAGTTTTATACACCAAAACCTGCTATAGCGTCACAATAGCGGTGCGGATAGAGATAGTCACAGCGTAGCAAGAAGACAATCAACATATGGAAATGAACTGGTATTAAACTAGTATAAAGCTGATGCATAAATGAGCAAGAGATATTTTTTGGCACAGTCTGCCGTCTTACGATTCAGCGCAATTTGTACAAACGAGGATCATACAACATTTGGTTAGGACTTAAGCTTCGGTTCGTTTCCTCAATGATGGTACAGCCACAACTGGAAATTTAAATTAAACAAACTTGAAACTCTTGCATTGATGATAAATTTCATTCTAGTATCTTCTCTGGTGATGTGCGTGAAGTCGATATATACGTAATACCTTTCGGTAGGCCGGAGTTTACAAAAAAAAATATTTTTCTAATTGCGCATCTTCCTCGGCAGGGAATGGCAAGCCCTACGAGTAAATTTTTGACATAAAATAGAATCTCTTACTTATATTTACAACATCACGAAAAATATTGAGTACAGTGAAAGTTCCTCTATTATTTTTGCTCTAAATTGAAGACATTATTTACCATATTTAAAATTATTCCACATATATCAAATATGCACCGTTTTGCTCCATAGTATTTGTTATGATCCCATCATCTCTTAACCCAATCGGAATCAGGCTTTCCTTCAGATCAATTCTTCATCATCTAAATCATTCGCCATAGATGAGAGCAGTTGGTAATCACATGGTGCGAGTTTCGGACTATGAGGTGTATGCATAAGAATTTCCCAACCAAACAGTCGGAGCTTTTGACGTCTCACTATCGATATGTGTGGTCTGGCGTTGTGCTGATGAAACACAATTTCTTTCCTGTTGGTCATAGATGGGCGCTGATGGGCGATTATTTCTTCCATATGGTCCAATTGCTGACAATACATTTCAGGTTTAAGAGTAGGTGAGCAGCTCATACTAAATGACTCCCTGTCAATCACACCAAACATAGAACAAAACCTCCCTGGCTGTCAATCTTGGCTCGGAGACTATTTGTACCGGCTCACTGCTCTTTAACCTGAACCGATTTCGTTTGACGTTACTGTAAGTGATTCACTTTTCAACACACTTTTGGAGTTGGTCGAAATTTTTACGATTTTGAAGAGATTCGCATATGCACATTCGGTCCATGAAATTTTTTCACATTAACTCATGTGGCACTTTTGCTGCAAGCGATGTCTGAATGGAAGATGAATTTTTATGACACGTCATTAATATCAAGTCTAAAACCCACCGAAGGTATTGGCATTCTCCGCCGGGACATGATTCTCACAACTTTAAAACAAACCAACAGAAAAAGCTGAAGAAAGATATCAAAGAATATTATCAAGTCGCAGCAACTCAAAGGCAACCACAAAAAAAGGATTTTGTGAAAATAAAACTTTGACAAATGACGAGCAGTACTTGAATGATAAATCAAGCAACTCAACTATGTGGTCACAAGAGCACACTCATACACACACACATGGAAACACACAAATTTAAAGGACAAAGTTCAATATAGTTTAGTGCAAGACATTCCTCAGTTCAATATTACTTACCATCAACTTGAAAATGCCAGAGATGAGAAATCAGCATCAAAAGCGTTTCAAACCAACGAAAGCTGAAAAGAAAGTCACAGCAAAAGCTAATAGAAGGAAGTGCAGTGTAAGCACGAGAGACTGAAGAGATAGCAAGAAGTAGAAAGTGGAAAAGCGCAATTTGTGTGTTTAAAATACTTGAGATATTTTCCTATTTTTGATGCGTAAAACCGCAAAGAAATTGAAAGCACACACAGCAGCGCAACTGGAGACTTTGCCTTGACTTGTGTATGTGCAGATCTACTCGAAACCAAGCTAAGTCGAGGAAAAGTATAGAAATTTTTGCTTAAAAAAATGTCTCTCATTTTTCACTCACTTAAGTTTTCATGCCAACTATCATAGTCCGCTTAAGTATCTAAGCAATAAACTTGTCTATGATGAAGTAAGCAAAGACAAAGGAAAGCGAGAAGCAAAAAGCGAAAAGAGAAAAGAGAAAAGCGCAATTTGAATTTGTCTCAACTACGCCCAGTTGCCGCACCACAAATCCCTTTAGTGGGCAGAAGACTCAATTTGGAATGAATTGCAGCAACGCCTGCTTGCTCAATTGCCAGGTTGAACAAAAAGTACGAGAGAGAGAGAGCTTGTGTCTCATATACCTACATACCATTCGCAGACTCGTCTTTTTTTTACTTACTTTGGCACCTCCTCCTCGACATCCTCGTCATTAGCAGCATCTTGTGCGTCAGTGACAATTAAAAGCGTTATTTGTTTTCTGTTGCATTCTTCTTCATTATCAACATCATCATCATCATCATCATCATCATCAACGTGCAAGCACCGTTATAATTATTATCATTAACACTTTATTAATGTCATTGGCATTAATAAAAATTTTCATTAAGGTGAAATGTGCAATTTTTTCAATTCACTTCTCAACCCTCTTTTGTTGCCCATTTGGTGGTTGCTCCTGAATTGTTCGCCCATAATCATATTTAACGGTTTCACACCAACACAGCGTGAGGCCATAAACTTTCACGCCGCGCTTTTCTTACCTCAGCAGGTAGGCGTGTGCGTTCGTGCACTGTCGAGACGTCTAATCTGTAGTAACCACAATTTGTTAAGAGAAAGCTTAATCATTATAATGGCTTGGTAGTAGAAAATAAAAGATTACTCGTACAATGTAACTTAAAGTCTGTTTACTGCCACGTCAGCTTGTTTCTTATATGAAAATCTTCGGTGGAAGGCCAATTTGTTGCTTCAACTTATACCCAGCCATATGCGTTCTTAGGAATAGACTCTCTAGAGTTAAGGAAACAAATTTAAAAGAAAAGAAAGAAAGGGAAGTGAAAATTTTGGAGCTTCAAATTTTATCCGAACATCAAATGAATCTATATGACGGCTTATCATCTCATCTCTGGCGTAGTGGCTAAGAACTCACAATGTGCATGCATCTGAGCACCGGTGTGTGCTTTTCCCAACCCAAAAAAAGGAGTATTCCATAATTTGTCCTGGTTTTCGTGAGATGAGTATTATGTGGTGTAGTCAAGCTTCTGGGATGAAGTAACAGCCATTGCGGTTTCAGTAACCAATAAAGGTTCGCTGAAGTCTATTTATAACGTCTGGGCTGCAAACGGACGTCGGTCTTGAAGCAAGCGGCTCACAATATGTATGAGTGCTGGGTTCGGGGACCGCTACGTCGAAATCAACTCCAAAGAAAAATACTACATTCTACTCGGGCAAGGTACCCCTGTTCAGATGACAACCACCACAAACGTACTAAAGTCTATAACTTAACATAAATGGGAAAAAACCGCTGCCCAGCTGATCGATGTCTTCATACTGACCGAACTTTTTCTTATCCCCTTGTAAATTCTTCATTTTCTTTTGCGAAACCTGTAAATCTCGATGAGAATGTAGTTCCCGCCTCAAGAAGTTTCGGCGGAAATTTATTAAACAACGAAACAAAATTTTAAAAAGACTTTCAGAAACGTCTGTACCCGTTATACGCACATTTTAACGGCAATTGTTCACCGTATTGAATAGTGAAGTAAGGAATACAGGAAGCCCAGAAGGAAGGAAGGACGGAAGGAAGAAGGAAATTCAATTGACACATAATTTGAAACGACAAGTGCGACAATAAGCGCAGCTGCTCATAGCAAGGGGCGAACAATGATGGAAATTAACAGCTGCAAGTGGTCAGATTGCTCAGTTATGGCATTTAATAAATTCAATACAACGACAAAACGTATCTACATTATGAACATTTAAAGTTTGCCTTTTATGTTCGAATATATTTACATTTCACTCATCGCTAGTACACAAATTCCCGCTGTAACATCAATATCATGCCGTAAAGAGAAGTCTCGTCTATGTCAGATACATCACTGTCATGCCTCTTTTCAATATGAAACTACTGTCAAACGCTCTTCCTCTCTCTCTCACTCTCTATCGTTCTATATATTCCTCTTCTCTCTCTCTCTTTCTATCGTCACACTTTCACTTCCAGCTTCAAGCTTACGCTCGACAGCTTGTCTATGCTTCCATCTACGGTCATTGTTTTAATGATAATGTAAAATTAATTGTTTCCATTTTGTTGAGTGACAGCGTGCAAATTGTTGTTGCAATTGTTGTTGCAACGATTGTTTTGTGAAACTTAACAACAATTAGAACAAAAACTACGTTTAACTGAGTATTCATATTTCAAGTTTTGTGATGCAGAAACTGTTAGCCATGGCATATATACATTTGTATATATTTACAGCGAAGAAAAAGAGTAAATATCTGTTGGCATTTAATTGATGTAATTTAATATGTTGGTGTAATTAGTAATTCATGTATTGTATTGTTTATTTAAAATTTAAAGATATACAACACTTAGGAAGTGAAAACTTCATTAGTTTGGAGAGTGAACACCAGGCTCTTGATCACTTAAATAGACTTTCCACTCAATTAACTGTTGGCAAGTATGTGAGAGAGAGTGGGAATAACAAGCAATTGAGGAAAATTATTGCATAATTTTGGGCGCCGATTAATTGATTCATTAAAATGCTGGAGTTCTCAAGAAAGTGGTAAAAAAAATATTATATAAAAGAGTTTCATATTCGTAATTCTTTATTGATCTTAGGAATCTAATCTGCTAATAGCACAATTTTTACAACTTTTTGTTGCCTAATTAATGGTTTTGTCGGGGCAAGTGCCCAACTCATACTGGAAAAAAACCATTTTTCAAAGAAGCGGGTGTTAAAAGCGACTGCGTAGCCGAGCTACTGCTCTATTTAGTTGTGTGCGCCTTGGTGATTCTTCAAGAAATTAGTGCTCCTTAGTTTATTCTAAGGCGCGTCCGAACGGCTTGAGAGAAGCTTTAATTTCATGTCAGAAATACCCTCAGAGAGCTTAACATTTCCTGCCGAAGGGTGATTACAATTATTCTTCTTCATCGTTGGCATGGACAACAGGAGATATTTCGTGCTATCATCGTTCATTTTAGACCCATTTGCTTCGAGAAGATAATACTAGCGGTGGTTAAGGCCTGTGATATCAATCCCATCGTCTTACGCGAACGGTTGGAAACCCTTTCTCTTGTCTACTTAGCTCTACAGATTATTTTCACCAGCATCAAATTGAAAAATTATTCACGATAAATTGTAGTACGAAATGCTAAGCACTTGCCAATCGCGGCCGGCTCACATAGTTTACTCGTATTACCTTAGCTATTTGTCTGCATCGTAGTAGCTCAGGAAATAAAAGAAGAATGCGTCGTGCCTCTAGAGTAGTTTCAATATTTGCGACGAGCTTTAGTTTCTGCAATGGTCTTGGCAGTAATCCTATTACACCAGAACTGACATGTACAGCAAAAGTTTATAGGAAATATCTGTTCTACGGAGCTTTAAAAACTGATGTTTCCGATGTGTCAATTATTCAGTAAAAGATTGTGATTTACGAAGTGAGTAAGTTTACTTTGCAGCAATTGGGAAAAGACGAGAAATTTACTACTAAAATGGTGAGTCTTCAACTAAAACTAAAAGAAGCTCACGCATGAAATTCGAGCGAAATAACTCGCCTTTAAAGCAGAAGAAAATAAACCAGCGAATGTGTTCATTCAGTGCGTTTCGAGGAAAATTTTGCTGCTGTCGCTAAAAGTTTACCTCGAACAGCCATAAACCTCTCGTCAGCGTTCGCTGGAGTTAAACATTTCGAGAACTTTTTTACCCAGGACCTTACATAAAGACCAAGCTGTTCAAAGAACTGAAGCCTCATTCAATGGGCTGAAGATCGCTTGGCAGAAGATTAGCATATTTTTTCAAAAAACCGTCTTTACTGATTAAGCTCGTTTTTATATCTAGATCTTCCTTAACAAACAAAACTGTCGCATTTAGGCGTAAAGAACCCTGAAGTGCTTATGGAAAGTCGAACGCATCCTTAGAAATGGACTCCTTGGTGTGATAAGTGGATCGGCGGTCAAAGAAGAAAGTAATATGAACAGTATGCGATTACAGCTGGACAGTGCTTGAGGCCACAAAATCATTATTTTATGAACGAAAGTCGAATAGTCAGTGAAAACGGCGATGACAACTGGCCGTATGAATGCTGCCCTAACCGTCGAGAGACGATTCTTGACTTTTAACACGAAGTCATTACTGCAGCCATAAAGGACCACATAAAATAGAATGGCCCATTACAACATCGGCTGAGGCAGTCATATGAATGAATTGTTTCATCATTAACTAGAAGAATGCTACAATTCATGGAAAAATATTTATGAGCATTCTTTTATAACAATTTTGTTACAAAATTGTGGGACTCGCTGCTTGTTCTGAAGTATTTCTGGTAGGGCTGATGTTGTGCCATGGGGAAATTTTTCTTATAAGCAGCTTTTTCTCCCTGCCTCAGATCGATCCTAAGAGGAGCGGTTACTCTATTTGATGAAGAATAGGTAGTCAAAGAATGGCCAATTGGTTCGTCAAAGTTGGAGAGAGTTAATTAATTAAAAATATTTAGTTCATATTTTTAAATTTCAGAAAAAAAGTAAATATTTAATTCAGAGAAAAAAAATTAATTCACAGAATTTGATTTTTTTTTTTTTGCTTAAAAAATATTTTTTCGCTATTTTTACATTACAAAAAAAAAATTTAAAATATAAAAAAAAAATACTTATATTTGTGTAGATATATTTAAAATTGCATAGAAATCGAAATTCCGAAAAATGCAAACCTCAAGCGCACACAGAAAAGCGCTGTTCTGCACGTTCTCACGATTTGCAACCCAAAAGCCTCTGCGGTTTCCTTTGGACTATCAGCAAAATAAGGAGATAACGGTATGCAACTATTCATAAAGTGCACAGACAACAACATAGCAACAGAAGATAATGGGATTTGAAAATAATTTTTAAAAATTTGTATAAAAGCGCACTGATTTGCATAACAATTCACAGTCGTTTCGACGCAACCTGCAACTCGTGTAACTAAGAATTCTCTAATTTGCATTCTAATATGTCTAGCGCACAGAATAAGAAGGCCTTGGACCTGCTCTTCCAACATCCTTTGGAGCCGGTGTTCGCAACACGTGATAACGGCAAGGCAATACTCGATGTGCCAGACAGTTTTTACACCGAGCAATATGCCGAAGTCAAGGAGGACATACAAAATCGTTTTGGCGAAGAGGTCGATGTGAAGATACCCATTAAAGATTTGCGACTGAAACCAAATTTGGATTTCACCAGCTTACTCACCAAACGCAGCCAGTTCTCACTCTTCTATGCACCACATCGACGCATTGCCGCACAGTTGATACAATTGTTGCTGGAGCCCAACAACGAAGAGGATTTCATTGCATTGGCTGCTTATGTGAAGGATCGTGTCAACGCTTTCCTCTTCCAATATGCCTTCGCCGTGGCTGTGCAACATCGCAAGGATACCGCTGGCTTTCAGGTGCCAGTGATTGTAGAACAATTTCCGAAGAACTTTGTTGAACCATCAGTGTTTCAAGACGCACGCGCCGAGGGTAAATTGGTACCTGACCCAGGTAATCGGGTATGTTGTCTTGATTTGCTTTGCTAGTAGTAAAATCGTTTAATTCTTTACCCACTCTCCTTCCAGCGACGCATCGATATTCCGCAAAACTTTACCGCCTCCGATCGTGAAGAGGAGCAACGTTTGAGCTACTTCCGTGAGGATATTGGCGTTAACAGTCATCACTGGCATTGGCATTTGGTCTATCCCGGTTCGGGTCCCGAGGAAGTTGTGCGCAAGGATCGGCGCGGTGAACTCTTCTACTACATGCATCACCAGCTGATGGCACGTTATAATGTGGAGCGATTCTGTAACGCTTTAGCTAAGCTGCAGCCTTTGAACAATATACGTGAACCCGTCGATGAAGGTTACTTCCCGAAAATATTGTGCAGTCTCAATAGTCGCACCTACCCGGGACGTGTGTCCAAAACGAAGTTAAAAGATATTGACCGTGATGGACGTGTGTTAGAATTGGCTGATATTGAGCGTTGGATTAATCGTGTAGTGCAAGCTATCGATCAAGGTTACGTAACAGATGTTAGTATTAAGTCAAAGCCCTGCAGACTCAGTTTTTATGAAACTCCTCAAATGTTACGTTTTCTCTTTCACAGTCTCGCGGCAACAACCTTCCACTGGACGAAGTTAAGGGCATCGATTTACTCGGCGATATTATTGAGTCTTCCGACCTCTCAGTCAATTCTGGCTTCTATGGTGATCTGCATAATCAGGGACACAATGTCATTTCATTTTCACACGATCCCGATAATCGCTTCTTGGAGGACTTTGGTGTTATGGGCGATGTTACAACTGCTATGCGAGATCCCATTTTCTATCGCTGGCATGGTTATTTGGACGTGCTTTTCAATCGTTTTAAGGAGAAGTTGCCTCTCTATGGGCCACAGGAGTTGGGTTATGATGGCGTGACTGTACAACGTGCTGATGTGCGTATCATAAGCGCATCGAAGAATATCATAAACACACTGCTAACCTATTGGGAAAAATCCGATGTAGACTTGGCTGCCGGTCTTGATTTTGGACCAGGTGGTAGTGTTTATGCGCTATTCACACACTTGCAACACTCACCATTCGAATATTTGATTGAGGTGAATAACAATACTGGCGCACCGAAGCGAGGCACTTGCCGAATTTTCCTCTGTCCCATCACTGATGAGCGTGGCACACCATTAAGTTTGAATGAGCAGCGTCAGCTTGCTATCGAGCTGGATAAGTTCACCGTGAACTGTGAGTAGAACAATAAATAAAGATTGTGTATGGGAAAAACTTTGAAAGCTCCTATTGAGAGCTTAAGTAAAGTGTGAAGCTTTTGTGAAAAGCTGTTTTTAACGAATTAATCATAAGATGTATGCAGTGAAAGCTTTTGTGAAAGCTCGACTAAACCATGTTGAAAGCATTTTGTAGAAGCTTCTACTGAAACCTTCCTTTGCGAATATCTTTATACAAATTTCTAAAAAAAACGTTTTAAAAAAAAATATTTAATTATTATTATTCTTTCAGTAATGCCTGGCGTCAATAAAATCAATCAATCCTATGACAATTCCAGCGTGACCATACCCTATGAGCGTTCCTTCCGTCGCATCGGCACCGGACACTTGCCAAATGATCCCCAGAAATTAGCAGAATTCCGTTTCTGCGGCTGTGGTTGGCCCGCACATATGTTATTGCCAAAAGGTAAGCCTGAGGGTATGCCATTCGAGCTATTTGTTATGATCTCTAACTATGAAGGCGATGCAGTGGTACAAAGAAATAATGCGTGAGTAAAAATCATGAATAGGGAAGGATTTTTATTTAAAAAAAATAAATTTTTTTCTTAAATTTGCAGTCCCGATGTTTGTGGTGATGCTGCTTCATTCTGCGGTCTCAAGGATAAATTGTATCCCGATAAGCGTGCCATGGGTTATCCTTTCGACAGGCGCTTACCAGCTGATACATTGACAGCATTGACAGACAATTTCAGTAACATGAAGAAGACACCGATCAAGATACTCTTCCGTAATGAGGTCGTCGATAGGAAGCGTAATTAGGGCATTAGCGATGGGAATTAAATAGAGGAGTTTAATTTCTATTTGAAATTACTATTAGCTCCCAAATTTTATAATTTAACTCTAATTTACTGTTAATTCTTATGCAAAACGTCATTCGAAACTCTATGAAGAGATTTACAATAAAATTTTGAAAGCATTAAATTCTGTTATCCTTCAATCTTTCACCAAACCCTAATTTTAGCCAATAGAGCCAAATGGGGAATGATATTTAAAAAAACTCTTAAAACGCAAAAAAATACAACAAAATAAAAATGTATTAAATTAAATAATAGAAAATACACAAAAAAAAATTAAATAAAAAATAATAACAACAATATAAAGTATAAAATAAATGAAATTAGATGAAATAATTTTAAAAAAATAAAAAAAGAAAAAAAATAAAGTAAATTAAATAACAACAAAAAATAAATAAAATTAAAAGAAATTTAAATTAAATCAAAAAACCATAAAATAAAATAAAAATTAAAGGGAATAAAATATTTTGAATAAATTTAAATAAAATTATTTAATAAAAATAAAATTAAACAAATTAAAATAATAATTGCAATATAAAATAAAATAACATATAATAACAAAAAATTAAATTAATTTTAAAAAATGAGATTAAACAAAAAAAAATAATTAAATTAAATTAAATTAAATTATAAAAAATTAAATAAAATAAAAAAGATTAAATTAAATTTAACTTAATTAAATTAAATCAAGTTAAAAATAAAAATAGCAAAAAGTAAAAACTAAATGAAATAAAATATAAGAAATAAATTAAAAAAATTAAATTAATTGAAATTAAAATTAAATGACATAAAATAAAATAATTTTAATTAAAATATTACATAATGAGAAAAATAAAATAAAATAATATAAAGTATAAAATAAAATTAAATTAAACTAAAAAATTAAAAACAAAGAAAGTAAAACTATTAATTAAATAAAATTAAATTAAATAATATAAAATACAATAAGATAAAAGAAAATTAAATTAAATTTAGTTTAAAAAAATAAATATTAAACAATTTTACAAAATAAATAAATTAATTAAAAAATTTGATTAAATGAAATTAAAATAAAATAACATAAAGTAAATAGAATAAAGTAAATTACCATATAAAAAGAAAATTAAAATAAAATAAAACAAATTAAAATTAAATATATTAAGTTGAAATAAAATAAAGTAAAGTAAAATAAAATAAAATAATTTGCTGAAATTAAAATAAATTAAAATAAATCAAATATTAAAATCAATGCTAAATTAAAAAAATATGTTGCTGTGTCACACAACTTTATATTAAAACCTTCTTTCCCTACGCAATAAATTTTTTAAGAATTTCTTATGCAAGTTTATATATAGCTTTATTAAAAATTCTGCTAAAAATACACCGAGTGAGAAATGCATTGAAGAGCGCACACACACATGTAACTACGAGCAATTACTAAAAAATATATGCAAACATGTACACGTTCACAGCACTTATGCACAGTTATAACGTAATTGTTTAATCGATTGCATTGTAAAAATTTCTGCTTAAATTTTTTGAAGTTGAAATCAACATTTCTATTAAAAATTAATGATTCAATGGATGTTCACGTGACTTCGATAAAAAAACTTGTTGCGGTCAAGGAAATGGTACTCTACTCGTACTTGCTTGTGTATAAAAATTCAAACTATAGTGACAATGAACTCAGTTTACGCTTGCCGGTATTTCATTCAGCATCAGAAGTTAAGTAAACAGCAGATATGTATTACACCAAAGCATTCCAAGTGCTCTTTCAGAGTCCACTGGAACCCATCTACTCTTGTCGGGATAACAGTAAATGTATATTTCAGTTACCAGATTCCTATTACGCAGAGCATGAACTGGATATAAAGGAGATATTGCAACAGCGCTATGCAGATAGCAAGCTTACAAAGGTAGATTACTTTTAATTAAACACGCACACTCGTCTATATATCTTTTCTTTGTAATTTCACTTTTCAGTTTATTATAACTGAGCTGCCAACGAAACCGGATCTCTCATTTGCTAATAAGTTGAGCAAAAGACAAAATTTTTCACTTTTTAACTGGCAACACAAGGAGATAGCAGGAAAGCTCATTAGACTGCTCATGGCAGCTGATGACTTGGACAGCTTTCTAAGCTTGTGTGTGTATGTCAGGTAATGTTGAATAAGGCTAACTTACAGACGAAGGAACTTTCAATTCAGTTTGGTAAAAAATATACCAATCAAAAAATTTACTATTTAAACAAATTTAATATAAACATAGAAAAATAAAATAAAACGAACAAAAATAAAAACAAATAAGTCAAACAAATCTCAATTAAATAACATTAAATAACATAAATAAAACCGAGTCAATTAAATGGAATAAATTGAATATAAAAAAATAAAAATAAAAAAAACTTGTATAAAAAATAAAACAAAATTTAATTTAATTAACTAAATAACAGTAAAGTGAAATAAATAATTAATTAAATTAAATAAATTAATAAATTTAATTTAATTAAATGGAACAAAAAACTTAATTAAATAAAAATAAACTAATTAGTTTAAAAAAATAAATTAATTAATTAAACAAATTGGAACAAAAAACAGGAAAGATTTTTCAATAAAGCAACAAATGAAATGAAATAAAATAAAATGAAGAAAAATAAAGTAAAACTGAAATTATTTGAATAAAAACCAAATTAAACAAAACAATAAAGTAAAATAAAATAAAAGTAAAAAAATAAATTACATAACGAATAAGATATAAAAATAATTGATCTAATTATTTTTAATAAATTTAAAAAAATTAAAAACTTAATTAAATAAACGATTACAATAATGAAATAAACTAAAATAAAATTAAAATTTTTAGAAATAAATAAAATAAAATAAAATAAAATAAAGTAATATAAAGTAAAATAAAAAGAATTAAATAAAGTAAAATAATATAAAATAACAAAGTAAAATAAAATAAATACAAAAAATAAACATAATAAATTTAATTTATGAAAAAAATTAAAAAAAAATTAAATAAAGTGAAATAAATTAAATAAAAAACTAATATATATCAAAAAGTAAATAGGCAACAAAATAACACAAAATTAATTAAAACAATATGGAATAAAATATAATGAAATAAAATAAAATAATATTAAATAAATAAAATAAAATAAAACAAAANAAAAGAAAAGAAAAGAAAAGAAAAGAAAAGAAAAGAAAACAAAAGAAAAGAAAAGAAAAGAAAAGAAAATTAAATAAAATAAAATAAAATAAAAAATAAATAAAATAAAATAAAATTAAATTAAATAAAAAAAAATAAAGTATAATAAAATAAAATAAAATAAAAGAAAAAACTAAAATTATCAATAAAATAAATGAAATAAATTACAATAATATAGAGCAGAAAATGATATAACGTAATAACATAAAATAAAGTAAATTAACAAAACAAATGTAATCAAAATAATTAAAAGCAAGTGAAATAAAGTACAATATAAATAAACAAAATGCAAAAGAAAATAAAATAAAGTAAATTGGAATAAAACAAAATAAAGTAAAAGCAAAATAGTTATATGAAATACAACAAAAATGAAATAAAATAAAAAAATAAAATAATTAAATTAAAATAAAAACTAAGATACACCAATAAAATAAAACACAAATAAAACAAATACAATGAAATAAATGAAAATCATATTAAATAAATTTAAACATTAACAAATAAAATAAAATAAAGAAAAATAAATTTAATTTCCATAAAAAAAGCAAGTAAAATTTCATAAAAAAACAGAGTAAATAAATTAAACGATATAAAAAAATTATAAATAAAATGAAATAAAATAACTAAAAGTGCACTGAAATAAATTAAAAAACAAATAAATAAATTTTGATGTAAAGGAATAAAATAAGCATAAATAATAAATTAAAAATTTTTCGCCATCTCCTTATATAGGCATCACTTAAATCCTATGCTCTTCCAATATTGCTACTCTGTTGCCTTGCTTCATCGCCCAGAGACACAAGGCATTTGGGTGCCGCCCATAGCGGAAATATTTCCATCCAACTTTGTTGAACCTTCAGCATTTCAAGAGATGCGTAGGTCTTTGACACTGAAGGGGATTAAGAAGGTATAATATAATTTTTACTCACATGTTATGCTATCTGACTGCTTTTATGACTTTTTTGCTTTCCCTTTCATCCCTACACTTCAGCCCCGCATCCAAATCCCTCACAACTATACCGCCTCCGATCGTGAGTTCGAACAACGTTTGGCTTATTTTCGTGAGGATATTGGCGTCAATATGCATCACTGGCATTGGCATTTGGTTTATCCGAATAGTGGCTCAGCAGAGATCATCAAAAAGGATCGACGTGGTGAACTTTTCTATTATATGCATCAACAGATTTTGGCACGTTACAATGCCGAACGTTTTAGTAATAAATTAGCCAAGACTTTACCGTTAAATAATTTACGTGAACCCGTCGCTGAGGGTTATTATCCCAAATTACTCGATCATGCACATCAGCGCACCTATCCTGGACGGAGTAGTAATCAACAGCTGCAGGATGTCAACCGTGAAGACGCAACTATAGAGATCGCTGATCTGGAGCGTTGGTGTGATCGCATATTGGCAGCCATCGATCAGGGTTATGTGGTGGATGTACGTACATTCATATATATAAAAAGCATATTATCAAAGAATGAAAATTGAAGTAAACTTAATAATCCTCCTGCAGCCCAACGGCGTGAAATTTCAACTGGACGAGGTATCCGGCATCGATATACTAGGCAATATCGTTGAGGAGTCCGATCTCTCAATAAATAAGCGCTACTATGGGCAACTGCATAATATGGGGCATAATTTAATAGCCAGCGTGCATGATCCGGATCATCGGCATATGGAGGAGTTTGGAGTGATGGGTCATAATATGACCGCTATGCGTGATCCCATATTTTACCGTTGGCACACATATATAGATAATATTTTTACGAAATATAAGCGCCTGTTGCCGCCATACGATGTGCAACAACTCGGTTACGCTCAAATCGAGTTATGTGAAATTCAAGTTCAGACACAAACACTGCAGGAACCCAATCAGTTTGAGACATTTTGGCAAAACTCTGAAGTTGACTTGGCGGCTGGCATGGATTTTGTCGCGGATCATGGTTTATTTGCCTCTTTTACACATCTACAGCACTCGCCTTTTGAGTATCGGTTTGTGGTGGCAAATAGAGGGGGACGTATGAAGCGTGGCACTTGTCGCATTTTCCTTTGCCCCAAGACTGATGAACGCGGTAAGGCGCTGCGGTTGGAGGAGCAACGCTTAATGGCTATTGAATTGGACAAATTTACCGTTAAACGTAAGTTGCCAGCACATTAGCCAATGACGAAACTATTTTATTTGGTTTACGTAACGATGTTTTCTACGTTTCCCTCCTCCATGTTTTTATTTATTTTTTACTTATTTTTTTTTTTTTGCTTAGTTTTCCCCGGCGAAAATCATATCAATCGTCTTTCCACTGAATCATCTGTGACTATCGCTTTTGAACGTACATTTGGGCGTACCAGCAATAGAGACGTCCTCTCTGCGGTCGCGCCGGAGCTCAACACGCGTCTGCACTTTTGCGGTTGCGGTTGGCCTCACTATATGTTGTTGCCAAAAGGCAAAGCTCGCGGCATGGAATTCGATTTATTCGTCATGTTATCGGACTATGCTGGTGATGCCGTAGAGCAAGGAGAAGAACGTGCTAAATGTCATAGCTGGTAAGTGTTGAAAAAAATTCCATAAATACAGCCATATTTGAGTTGGTGCGTATCTGTGTATGATAGAGCGTGCTTATATTTTTGGTGCTGACATTGAAAGATCCGAGGCTACTTAAGTAGACTCTTTGGTAATGATTAACAAAAATTTTTTAGGATTACTGAAAAACATCACAGAGAGCATATAAAAAACTAGTATATTCTTTCCCCCTTCCTATCATATAGTCACGCCCCAAATGGTGAGATCACTGTTGAGGAGGATGATGGTAATGATGAGAAGCTATGTAACGACGATGCGGCCTCATATTGTGGTCTACGTGACAAATTATATCCCGATAAACGTACAATGGGATATCCTTTCGATAGACGTTTACAAGCTGATAATCTTAATGAGCTCGTTGAACAATATGGAAACATGCAAAAAATTGATGTGACCATCACATTTAAGGACGAGATAAAAGCGAGTAGTGATGCAGCAAAAATCGCATAAGGAGTTCTCTTAAACAAAAAATAATTAATTCATCAAAAATTGGGAGGATTTAAGGGAAAAGGGAAAAACTCAAAACATAATGGCTTGTGATTTTATAAAAAATATTGTAATATATACACAAAAAACATCTATTTCAGTAGAATTAAATTTCGTTTTTTTTTATTTTAATTCATTTTATTTTATTTTATTTTATTTTATTTTATTTTATTTTATTTTATTTTATTTTATTTTATTTTAATTTATTTTATTTTATTTTATTTTTTTTATTTTATTTTATTTTAAATTATTTTATTTCTTTTTTTCGTATTTGATTCTATTTTATTTTATTTTAATTTAATGTAAATAATTTTAAACATTATAGTAGGCACCTATACATTTTAAGTTGATTTTAACAAGTAATTATAACTTTTCCAAACACCCACATCTGACCACACAGTTTTTCGCATGCCAACTGCACTCTATTTTAAAACTTGTTGAAAGGTATAAATACTGCAAAAAGTTTTATTTCTGAGTGCGGTTACAACTTTAATCTTTTTCTTATATTTATAAATACATACAAGTATATGTAGGAGTTAGCTCATCCATATATATATTGTAGTTATGGAGTCTCCCAACCCAATTTCAATTATCAGCTACTCCCACAACAAGCAAAAATAATTTATGAATCTTTCAACACCCAGCTGTCGAGAACTATACGAACCGTACTATTGTAGTTGTGTTGTTGTATTGTGGTAGTAAGGTGACAAAGTGTAAATTATTTTGGTTGACCATATGGAAAATTGCTTACAAATATTTATCATAAACGTATGATAAATAATAACTATTAATCATAGAAAGTACGAATGTGTACTTTTTGATATATTGCAAGTGAAAAAGGTAGAATATTATTGTAAATAAAATTCACATTTGATCAATTGTAGACATTTTAATATATATTGTTCTACAAGTAGGTTTAACAAATGTGAAGCTAACACTTCTCTTGAAGGAAAGGGTAAAATTTGTTGATTTTAGCTTTACAGTTGGCAACTCAGTTAACAGCATATTTATGAAAAAATTTTTATTGTAAGAATATTCTATGTATCTTTCAAGCATTTGACAATTCTAGTGAAAAGTACAAGGATAAATTAATTGGAAAAAAGTAGAAAAAGTTGAAAAGTGTGGCTCACATTCATGCAAATTGTCAGACAAAAGTTATAAAGCAAGAAATATAGAAAAAATTAAATATTCAAGCCTTTGCTAAAAGACCAACAACAACCTTCAAAAAAGACTAAAAAGTATTGGGGAAAAAAGTATGAAAGTGGAAATCGCAAAAGTAAACTGTCGCAAAAAGTTTAACAAACCCTCAAATACCAAAACGTGTATGTAGTAAAAGGGATATATATATATGAGAGTGTGTATGTATTTTCCATGTAATATGTCTACATTACTTAATAACAGTAAAAGCGGCTTAGAATATTGCTTATTATAGCTGCGAGGCTCGTGCTGAACTATTGACTTGCTCAACATTTTCTACATTCGCCTTTTACTCAGCACTTTCTTTGCACATTTTTCGTAGAAGCTTTAGTTAGTGATAAAATTCTATATAAGGAAAATTTTCATATTACAATATATACACTCACAGCGGTAAATTGCTTAACTAAATAAATATCTTTTTTGAAAAAATAAATTAGAAGCAGACAAAATCGGCTCAGCTATTGGGTATCTAAAAAAGGATAGTCTAAAAAAAGGTATAATAAAATGTGATGCAGAACGAAAATCTAATCTTTTGATACAAGCAGCAATAGATATATATAATTTATTATAAGATATATANGGTGAAAAAAAATTAATAATTTTGAATTTTCAAATAATGTTAATAATTGTTTTAGTTGAGCTTTAAAAGCAAATTGAAATTTTCAAATAAACTTAATTTAAAATATCCATAATTTTTCAATGAGGAATCGCCGAACAATACTGAAAACAATTACCATGACAGCCTGACACGACTCACGTGTGATCTGTCAAAAAAAAAAAGTTTTTTGGAAAAAATATCTCAACTTAAATCAACCGTTATTTAATAAAATTGGACTAAAAGATTTATGAATAAAAATTGAGATTTTTAATAACTAAAAATCTATAAAAATCTTTCCAGCTTAAAATAATTAAAAAAAATCAAAGTCTAAATCAATACATTTATTCAAATAAATTTATAAAAAGAAATTAGACTTGAAAAAGGTGTATTAAAAAAATTTTATAAAAAAAACTTAAATATAAAATTTTTAAATTAAAAAAAAAATTATAAAAAAAGCCTAAAAATTGCAAACTATACCGGCTAAGTGTTCAATAACGTAAATGATTTTGCTTAATCTCACGCTCTAGTCAACACTGAAAAATTCTGCTACATACATTTAATACTCATTTTAATTTCTTGAATTCTAATTTTCATTATATATACCTAGAATTGTTTTTTCTTCATTTGTCTATCTCCGTCAGTTATCTCTCAGTCGCTTTGTCATTAAAAGTTTTGTGTACTACTGTTTACTTTTGGTTCAACTTTTCTATGCCTTCTCCCTCGTTCTCTCCCTCTGCTTACTTGCGCTTTTCACTAAAAAATGAATGTTGGTTTTACTAAATTCTCTTCCTGCAGGCGCAAATGAAGTAACAGGAAATGAAACATAAAAGAAATTCTGAGAACTCATTCCATATTATTTTAGGAGAAGAGAATAAAGTGAATTTTAGATTTAATTTTTTTGTGTGTTGCTAATTTTGCAGACGTTTAGTGAGTGCTGCTGAGTTGAGATAATTTTTTTTTTTAAATTTATTTATTACTTAATTTAAAGTAAGGAGTTTTGGAATGTTTAATTTAAGAAACTTCTGAACATACTTAACTTCAGTATCTGAAGAGAAATCTCATCGGAGTGTTTTTTTTTTTTAACAAATTAAGTGACTTGCGCTTGGTACTCGAATCATCTCATTATCCTCTAACCGCAACTTTTAATTTCTTGATCTTATTTCCTCTTTAAAACTAATATTAATTTACAAAAAAATCAACTTCAAATGAAATTTAATTTGCTTTTCTCACTATTTGCGCTACGCAATGCGATTACAACATGCTCATGCTCATTTGAGCCACAGCACATCCAAACGTCACGGCGCGGCTATGTACTTGCGCGTTGCTACATATTCGTATATGGCGGATGAGCCGAAATCCTTTTGTGCAGTCATGGCGACAATATCAATTTTGCGCTTATTTGACACACAAATCTATTTTTACACTACGCGCCCACACACACACTGGCACAAATCGTTGCGCGTATTTGACATTTAAACACTGTTGATAAGCTGCTGTGTCACACTCCCATGTCTCGAATTCGCGTTAAATGGGTATCTACGTGTACCATACATACATATGCCGTTTTGACAATTCGACAGTGTTGTTGGCATTTTAGCTTGAAACCTTTAGCAATTCGCATCTATATGTACACAACAGTATTTTTCGTGACTTTATTTCACTTTGTTCAGCTTATGTTATTATTGTTGTTTGCTGCCGTGGGGTTTTAAATTAAATTTTGGTAGCTTCGATTGTTGGGTGTACAGTGAGAGCCAAAAAAAAAAAAATGCTTACAATATAAACTCCAAATGGGTTATGTAATGTATGTAAAAATATTTTTACTCCTTTTATTCTTATTTTTTCCATTTCTTTGCATCTACTTGACTACCTGCCAACTAAAAGGACCCAACACAATTCGCCACAGGCCAAATTACCACTCAGCCAGCATTAGCGGTACATTTAGCGGCAACGCTCTGAAAATATTTTTGTATTTGTTCAGCAGGAATCTACATGCATACCCCGTCGCTGCTCAATTCAAATAGCAATATATTCTCGTTATTCAAATATTGTCACTTATCAACGGCTGCTAGGCTTTTGGGTTCACACATGCCAGGATTTTTTTTTGCTGTGTGTCTATTTAATGGCTTGCCTTTCAGTATCCTTGTGTGTTTGTTTATTTTCTTATTGGCTTCAAAGTTGTCTACCCTCATCATAACTGAACTTTAAGTAAATTTGAAATTATGCGCCATTTCTTATACACTGTGGACCAATAAAACCATTTTGTATATAAAATGCCTGGCTCAACGACTAAGGCATAGCTTATTCAATGCATAAGGTGTGTAGAAGAAAACGAAACATATCTTTGGGATTATCCTTACTTTTCATCATATTTAAGGAAAATGCGGCTAAAATATTTTTAGAAGCATTCGCTATTTGCGATTTAATAACATTTTAGGTCAAGTTAAATGCCATCTATTAAAAAAAACAGTTTGGAGCATGAGTTGACAGGAAAAAACCTCATTGACCGAAAATCAATCGGCGAAACTCTGCAGAATCGAAACCAAACTCCAGAAACCAGACTCATTTCTAAAACGATTAATGACTGCCGATGAAAAGTTATTCCTTTTTGTGGGTTAGGAAAGAAGCTATAGCCCAGAAATTGTCGATTTTGAATAACTGTTAGGAAATTGCACACCAGACCACTCACGTCGATAGTGACTCACCAAAGGCTTCAAGAGCTTGCTTGACAAGTTCTTGTGCATCCACCCTATCCCACGGACCTAACACTAATTGAAAGTCATCTGTTACTGACTTTGGCGAATGATTTGCCTAACGAAGAATTAGCCTCCAGATTTTTTTCATTTTATTTTATTTCATTTTATTTTGTGTTATTTTATTATATTTTATTTTATTCTAACTATTTTATTTCATTCTTATTTTTCCTTAATTTATTCTTTTTTTAGTTTTTTCTTTTATTTTATTTTATTTTATTTTATTTTATTTTATTTTATTTTATTTTATTTTATTTTATTTTATTTTATTTTATTTTATTTTATTTTATTTTATTTTATTTTATTTTATTTTACTTTATTTCCAAAACACTTAAATCCTCTTTAAATTTGCAGTACTGACTCTTAATATCATTTTTCACTAATTAAACAATTCATTATGCAAGTATTATGTTTTCGTC